CCATGGAATCTCATGAATTAAGATGGGTATTTTAATCATAAGAGATCCAAAGATACCATCACAGGGGTCCTAAAGTAATGTTCTTAATTTATTCTTCTAACCACAACTAACCTAATAAGGAAGGATTGATATCTACACTATGCATACTAAACAAAACCTACAGAATCACAAAATGTATGTTCAGAACAGTGACATTATTCAGGAGGGAGAATGTGTGAAGGGAGGCTCAGGAACACAATATCCCTTAATATAATGAACTTTTCTAGTTTCCTAAAATCAAGCCCAGTACAGTTATCTACTGAGTCAATGACTCCCAGGATTTCTTGGTTCTGGAGAAACTACTCTGCAATTTACTTTCAGGGGCTCAGTAATATTCAGCATAAATTTTAGGTCAAATTTGGATCTTTTCAATGCTAACCTAATCCCTCATCTTTGTTCCATGTCTTCCAAAGCAAAATAATGTTACATCATTTCTAATCTTAAGACTTCTTCCTCCCAAATGAATTAAGAACAGTCAATGAGAAATACTTAAAATTAATCTGCAGAATTTAAAGTTAATAGTGTTTACATTTGAACTTCAACATCAATTGATGATACAAACTCAAAAATATTTGGTGCTATGGACTGAATTTCTTTGTCTTTTCAGATTCCATATGTTGAAGTTCTAATCCCTAATTTGATGGTAATTGGAGGTGGGTCTTTCAGAAGTGATTAGGACTAGATGAGGTGATGATGATGGAATTAGTGCCTAAGAAGATGAGGCAAACTTCATGTGAAGATATAGTGAGATGGTGGCCATTGGCAAACCAAGAAAAGGACCCTCACAAGAACCTGACCATACTATCAGCCTGATCTTGGACATATGGCCTATGGAACAGCAAGAAACAGATTTTTGTTGTTTGAGGTTAATGGTATTTATTATAATAGTGTCACCAAGTATACAAAGTACATATGGGATATGATTTTAAAGGTATATGTAACTTTGCCCCATATAAGAGATGTGCCATGGAGCTACTCAAGGTCTTCAAGGACAAGCAGGCCCTCGAGTTTACGGAAAAAAAAAGCGGGGGAGGGTAGGGAAACACATCTAGGCCAGGAGGACATCAGAGGAATTAGTTAAGCAATGTCCCAATGTCCTGACCACCATGAAGAAATTGGGTATCAAGAAGGACTGAACATCCTCTTCAGTTTGTATATAAGAAAATTTTTACAGATGAAAAGAAACATACACTATACAGTAATCCCCTCCTTATTTGCAGTTTTGCTTTCCAGATTTTTAGTTACCTGCAGTCAACCATGGTGTGAAAATCTTAAATAAGAAATTCCAGAAATAAACAATTCATAAGTTTTAAATTGCACACAATTCTGGGTTCTATGATGAAATCTCATCATAGATTTGAATCATTGCAGGACTTGAATCATTCCTTTGTTCAGTGTATCCATGCTATGCTGGAACGCTACCTGTCTATCAGTCACTTAATAGCCATCTCCGTTATCAGATCTGCTACCCAGGTACACAGTGCTTGTGTTCAAGTAATCCTTATATAGAACCCTAAAAATGCCTATCCCTTCTCTTTATTTCATCTCATCATATAGCCATTATATCATATCTCACATCATTGCAAAAAGAAGGGTAAGTATAATATTTTCAGAGAGAGCACATTCATATAACTTTTATTACAGTATATTATTATCATTGTTCTATTTTATGACTGGTTACTGTTGTTAATCTCTTACTGTGCCTGATTTCTACATTAAATTTCATCATAGATGTGTCTGCACAGAAAAAGTAGTATATATGGGGTTTGGTATTGTCCATGGCACATCCCTTGAAGATAAGGGAGGACAACTGAATTTGCTGTATATATTCAAGGGTCATTTATTATTTAGGTAATGGTATGGAGAAAAAGTTCAGGCAGCACCTACTCTGTAGCAGGAGTTAAGCCAGGTGCAATCACATATATCTTATATTATAACTTCAATGATTACCTTCATTTATAGATGAAGAAATTGAGGCTCAGAAAGGTTTATCAATTTGCCAAATAGCACATTGTGTATACAAAGTACATATGGGATATGATTTTAAAGGTATATGTAACTTTAAAGGTATATGATAACTCAGTGACAACTGTTCTGAATGAGAATATACTCCCTTAAACTTCTTAACACTTGCTTGACTATGCCAAGAAATTTTCTGACTCACTAATGATTGTTACTACTCAAAGAAAATTTCTGAGTAATTAATGGAACTTCATGGGATAAAGAGAATTATTAACTTTTCACCATACCTCTTTCTGTATTATTAGAATTTTCAGTAAGAATGCAACTTTCATTTCAAAATAAATAAATAAAAATAAAAATAATGAATGTTAAAAATCACTGAACTTTTCTCAAAGTAATTTTAGGATTAACACTTGGCAAAACTGTAAGATTTGGGATGGTACATGTACCCATTCTCTTGCTTTTCACCCAATTTTCCACTTGGTATTCCATGCCAAAACTTTTCACTTACCTATGTCATAAAGCAGTTATTTACACAAAAATTGAATTTGTTATTATTTCATGGTATTTTCACTGAGCAGAAAACTATCTTTGGTGAAAAAAAAAATGACTGTGTATCTCTGGTATCAGAGTGGCAGAGATATTTAGGAATGAAGCTTTCTTCTTTCTCTTTAGTCCTGAAGCCATACACTACCCATATCCATCTACTTAGGAAGCTCTTAAAGAGGGCCTTTGCCTTGTGAACCCACTGCCACGGTTCCAAAATGGGATAAGGCATTTAAAAGGGAATGAGGCACATATTTATTGAGCAGAAGGAGGAACCAGCATGTATATGATTAACTAGACACCAAAAGACCAACCACCATTTATACATAAAAGGCATGTATGGCTAGGTGTGGTGGCACATCCCTGTAATCCCAGCAGCTTCGGAGGCTGAGGCAGGGGTTCACGAGTTCAAAGCCAGCCTCAGCAAAAAGTAAGGTACTAATCAACTCAGTGAGACCCTGTCTCTAAATAAAATACAAAATAGGGCTGGGGATGTGGCTCAGTGATCTAGTACTCCTGAGTTTAATCCTGGGTATGCCCCCCACCCCAGAAAGGGGTGTCTTTGCTCCAAATAAGTGATGCAACTTGGAGCTATTCGAGGTCTCCAAGAGCAAACAGGCCCTCAAGTTTATCAAGAAAATGGTAGGGATACACTCCATGCTAAAAGAACACAAGAAAAACATATATACATGATGTTAACATGAGTAACTCAGTGCAGTGGTAACTGAGGGTAAAACCATATTCTTTACTAAGCTTTCAGAAGTCAACACTCTTTCAGAGCTAAACTTCCTAATCTGTGTAAGGGCTTTGATCACATACACACTTTGGGAGTCCCATTTGGATTTTCTCCAAAGTGAGAGAAAATACATTTCTGTTGTGTGAAGCAACTGAGTTTGTGGTCATTTGTCAAAGTATCCTGAGGAAACGAATACACTCACATTTCCAGACTCTCATATCACTGTATCTTGTAAGAAGGAAACACAAGAAAACATATTAAAAAATAAACACCCTGGTTACGGGTATGTATTCAAATGCCTGCAGCACATAGAATCACATACTTCTGACTTTTTTTCATGTGCAAATTTAAAAATCCTTTTAGGAATTGGAGGAACTACAAGTTTTATTCAGATGAATGGAGACTCTGCCACATACTAGAATTAGCAAGCACTGAAATGAGGAAGAGGCTCTTGGCCCTGAATTCATAAGCTATATTCCCAGTCTTGTTTGAATAGAAATATTTTTTAAAGATCTTACTCTAAAACGGTTACCTAAGACATTGCCCATCATGCTACTCATTTGTACCCATATAGTTCCATGTTGTTTTGTTTTTTTTTTTTAAAAAACTCTCATAATATAGCACTGGGAAAGTATTTTTGTGTCTTAAAAAAAATAGTCATGTTTCATCCTATCAGATAATCAGAATTTTTTACCCCATCTACTAGAATAGCCTCAGCTACTCTGCTTGTTTCCATGCTTCACCTCCTACAGTCTGTTTTCCCACAGAAAGCACAATGATGGATCCTCTTATATATAAACCAGATCATGTCAACATCCTGAACATAACCAGTCTAGGGATCCCCATTACACTTAGGATAATATGAAAAGCCTTTCCAGGGCCCACCAGGTCTAATATGCTCTGTCTGGGCTATCACTTTTTATTTGCATCCCCCTGCTGACTCTTCCCTGTCATCCCACTGGCTTCTATGCTTATTGTTCTTGTTGCCTGAAAAACCTTCCTCTTGTTCCTCATAGGTCACCATTGCTTCACTCAGGTCTCTAATCAATGTCACTTCCTCTGAGAGTCATTACCACTCCATCTAAAATAAACACCCTTCTCTTGCTTCTAGTTTCTCTCATGGCATTTATTCACCTCCTAACATTACACTGCATATTTAATTTCTTATTTCATCATTGTCTTGTTCCCATGCTCGAATGTAAGCTCTCCTAGAGCAAAAACTTTTCAGATTTACTCATAGAGTCTATCACAGAATAGGCACTGGATAAATTATTTGATGAAACAAAAAGATAAGTGAATGAATTTACAAATCGCTTTGTTTTGTTTTTTTGCCCTGTGTGACTGGAAAATCAGTATTAATTTCAATGGTTATGGTATCTTATTAGCCTTAATCATGAGCACATATGCTTTTTTTAATATGCCAATCTCTGTTTTTATTCTAATAACATAATATATACACTTTATTTTAAGATACATTTCATAATGTGACAGAAAGACATCAATAGGCAGGTCCCACACTGTGTGGGAAAGCATGTCTTGTGTGTTTGTTAATCAGCAGTAAATGGGACACATGACAAATTTGAGTAAAATACAAGATAGCCCTCAAGCTAGAAGCCCAAATTTGGGCTGAAAGTTGATATTTGGGAATCTTGAAACAACAGATGACAGTAAGCCAATGGGTCTAGCAGAATCAGTGAAGGAGAGAAACCAGTTTTACCTTTTCATTCCTGCAGTTGTTAAGTCCCATATTATTCATGGAGGACAGTTTCCCATCAACACCATGAGGCTGTTGCTGCTGTTGCTCCCGCTGGATCTGTTCTCGCATCTTCCGAGCCTCCTGAATGGCTTTCATCACTGTATCCTGATCTCCAAACAGGGCAGGGGAGTTGAGACTGGACAGGATATCTGCGTATACAGGATGCATTATTAAAGGCTAGTGAGGATAAATTCATAAAAAGAATTACTCTCCACTCTCCTGTGGAATTCTGCATTTTCTGAATAAGGAAGGGGCATATTTGTTGGGAAAGCTATACAATACTATGCATAGAACACAGAAAGCCAGGGCAACCAAACTGTGCTTGTCCCTTTTAGTCCTTGGAGGACAGCCCACCACTCAAGTCTACATGGGTTCTTGCTACCCGTTTTCTCACAGATGAAGGTTCCTAGATTCCAATTGTGTATCTACTGGGGGAGATACCTCTTCTAGTTGTTTCCCCAGTCTGTATATGGCCTTGCTTTCTCTGGAGGAGTGGTATGGTGTGGAGGATAGAGATAAGAGAATGTAGTGGGAAGGCAGGAATGTGTACCCCGGCACCCTATTATATTTGGTGTGCCCCTTTAGGAAAACACTTTCTTTTTTAGAAGGAAACAAAAAAAATCTATGAAGCTCCATGTGTGCTTTAGTGACCTCTGTGTGTATATGTTTGTGTGTCCACTGCAGGAGCGAGGGGGCAGGAGGAATGTTCTCAGTGTTCTCCATTCCCCAATTGCTGGCTGGCTAATGAAGCATTCTTCTCATCATGCAACCTCAGTTATTTACGAAGAGAAGAATGGCCCCCTCCCTACCCCACCCCCAGTACCCACTGCTCTTCGCTCCCTATCCTCAAGATAGCTAAGCCACGGGTGTGGGAACAGTTTTCACGTAAATACAAAGGCTCCAATAAAGTGAGAGTAAATATTTGCTTTTATTATATTTCATGCAACACAGAGGGAAAAGATTCAAAATGAAATTGACTAATGTTCTTTGATATCTTGCATTTTACTGTGAGCAAAATGAAATACTTTGAATAAGTTTTCCAATTCTACACAAAAAATGGCAATTATTTGGGCTGGGGTTGTGGCTCAGCAGTGGAGCGCTTGCCTAGCATGTGTGGGGCCCTGGGTTCAATCCTCAGCACCACATAAAAATAAAATAAAGGTATTATGTCTGACCACAACTAAAGAAACAACAACAACAAAAAAATTTTTTAAAGGACAATTATTTGATGAGTGCTAATTTCAGCTTCTGTGGCAAATTTTAATGTCCACTTGCTTGAGGCCCAGTGGCATTAAGCATTTTCATGGCACATGTATATGGGCATGTGTGTTTGTGTGTGCATATGTGTACACCTCACATAGTCGGAAGGGACAAAGGAAACCAGACTACAATCACGCTCACATCACGTGTCTTAGATGTGCAGTGAATGTACATATATGTGTGAGTCTGGAAAAAATCCCAAGGCTATCAATGGGAAAATTTAACAAATCAGTTACTTTTTAGGACATTAAAATACACACACACACACGCACACACACATACACACACACATTTAGTCTTGGGGCTTTTCTGATAAAAAGACCATTTCTATCCAATGTCATCTGGACAACAAAGACTACAGGTGCTATTGCTTCAGCCCATCTGCTGAAGTCTAAGTATAGAACTATAAGAATAGTCATCTCTGTCCTTCACAATTATCTGTACAGTAAACAAATGTGTTCCGAAAAAAAATGAAGAAGTGAATTATAGGAGGGCCATTTCAAGGTCAGGTCTATTATTTATCTTTGTGTTGAACTTTTTCTCTCATCTCACAACAATAAAGATCCAGTCAAAGGATGTTCTTCACATTCATATGCTGGAAATGATTTACTTCTCTCTGACTTGAGGTGAAAATCTCTGAATCCCTGAAGAAGTCATCCTGACACAAAATAAGAATAGGCTGCTGTAGAGATCCTCATATCCCAAATTTCAATGAGGAAGATTTATGTCTCATTATCAAAAGATTTACTTAGTCTCAGCCCATTCAGTAAATATTTCAACTATGAGTTTACAAAAACAACACTGAGTTATGTGTAAGGGGACCTGGATTCTGGTTCTGGCTTTGCTAATTAATAGCTACAGTGTTGTGGGCAAATCATTTTACCGGTAAGAACCACAATTTACCTTAGCTGTGTGACAAGTATCATAATCATGCATCACCTAACTCACAACCTTATTAAAATCAAATAAGCAACAATGTTTGTAACTATAAATGGCTATAGTTGCATGTTATTCTATCTAGCATAAGGAGAATTTTAGGCTATAGGATTCAATAATACAAGCAAGGTAACATGGTGAAGAAATGCTAGGTCTAGTCCCTAACCTTTTCAAGTCTCAATGTCTTTATTAGAATATTAAGAGTTATAAAGAATACAGTAATAATTTTAATGCTTTTTGGCACTCTCCTATTGACAGGTGTTTTCATATTTATTGTTTCATTATAGTATTTGTAAATGTGTAGGTATTATTTATTCTAGCCTTTTAAAATTGAACATCTTCTTAGGTACTAGACACTGTTCTGGGCACTTTATATACATTTTTCTCTTTTAATCCTCATAGTCGCCTATGAACTGAGGCATACTATTCCCCTTTCAGAGATTAGGAAACTGAATTTTAAAATATTAAATAAATTTCCCAGGGCCACTAGTCAGTAAAGGCTCTCAGTGCAAGCCTGTCTCATTTTTAAAACCCATGTTTTTTCCTCCAGAGTTTTCACACAGAGGTGTGAATATTCCTAGAGATATTTGACAATTTATGCAGGAGTACAAGATATAGCTTCCTAGATATCAATGTTATTTCACATGTTATTGAAGTATGTAATTTATATTTATTTTAATGCAAAATTAATAAATAATAACATGTAAATTTCACATACATTTTGAAGAGAAAATATAAAATTTCAAAAGAAGGTTTAAACTTTTGACAGGCAGCATTGAGGCCAGGTCCTAAGGCCTTGGAGAGTTACTTTAGGTAGAAAGCACTGACAAAAACAGAATTTCTTAAGTCTGTGACTTGCTGGATCTAAGTCATCACCAATTGAAAAACCCATTCCAGCGGGATTTACATTAGAATTTTTTCCAAAAGTTTTAATCACCCAGAATACTAACTTGGGCTATGATTCAGTAGAAAAGAAAAGAGGATTATCTTTAAGGAACGGGTTGGAAATGAGGATCAGTTATCACTAAACAGGTTTGCTTTCTTTTACCTAATTCATAAGTCTCTTCCTGGTGTTGACTTTTCCATTTACCTAAAGAGGATCCTCTTCCCAAGTTTCCTCCAAGGGGGCTGGGGATGCCACTTTTGTTTGGCAGATTGATGGGGCTGGTTTTGCTGGCTGAGAAGAGGCTCTGTGTGGGAGATGTTGGGGACTTCACAGGCTCTGCTGTCTTGGGTCGGGAAGAGAGATTCAGCGGCTGTGCTGCTGTTTCATCCTGCAAGAGTTTAACATAAATAATTATTAAAAAAAAAAAGACAAATGAAGCACATTATCACTTAGTAAGCCACAGTTATTTTACACCTCAGAGACAATGCTACATTCTCCTACAATAATAACAAAAGAAGCTAATTATCTACCTCCTTGAAGATTCATCGAAAGGAAACCTCATTAATTTCCCTGTGTTATGCTTCTATTTACATTAACTGTGTAGTTGGATCATTCTTTTTGCCAAATTAAAATCTGAATTAGCTCACATTACAGCTTAATTTCCTAATGTGTTTTCAGGGATCTAAATTAACCTAGGGCATTTACAAAGAATTATTTAAAATTTCAGTAGCTCTGTAGTGCTTTTGTGTTATTCTCTCTGAAAAGTTCCTGTAACTATAAATAGACTCTGCAGCTAATTTTTTAATATATATTTTAAATCAAACAATCGAAAGTACTTTAAAAATGGAAACATGGAAAGTCTTCTTCTGATCTGGGCCCCAGCCCACAGAGCCACATGCCACACCATGGCTTCTATGTGGCTTTCTGGGTGTGGGCTCTCTTTGTGGTCTATATTCTGGTCTCTATTCATGTTTAAAATTAATTTTTGCAAAGAGCAAGCACACATTATAATTATGTTTTACATACTATGCTATACGCAATTTATTTTTCATGTTTAAAGTGATGTCTTGTTATACCCTTTGCTACATATATTTACGGAATGTCTATTTTAAGATGCATTTCCCTCTACACTGAGCACACTATTCCGCTATCTGGCTTGTAACTCTAGTTTAGCTAGGAACTTTAAAGCTAAGCTCCTTGCTTTCATTTTGTCTCATTTATCCTGCCATAAAATACCTGTAGCAAAACTTCTATCATCCTAGAAATTTGGTTATAATATGAGCATATTCATTTAAATGTTCAGTTTTAAGATCTGCATTATTATGTTCTAAAATAAAATCATCAGCAAATGTTAACTCCTATTTTGCTTCTGAGAGGCACAGAGAGCTGGATTTTAATGTCACCTTATTTGAAATACAAAATAGAGTTTGGTAACAGAACATTCTCTCCCTTGGTAAACACGGCATCTCGCTAGGGCTCTTTTTCTTCATCCATTAAAAAGAGGGTCTCGTACTAAATGATCTCTAAGGTCTCTTCCAGTACAAATACCACTGATTAAGGGGAACAAAAAGAGATGCCAGAAAATACCACTTGAGAAGGAGAACTGGAAAGAGAAAAAGAATGATAACATACCAAGTAGTCTCTGAAGCATTTCACATATATTGCCTCATTTAGCCACCAATAGCTCCATGAGGCAGTGGTATTCTACATTTACAAATGAGGAAATGGAGATGGGAATGATCAAAATCACTTCTCCAAGGTCATGCGTGGATGAAAGAATCTGAATTCTAATTTACTGAATTCCAAACTCAGGCCCCCTTTCTACCAAACTACCAGAGAAAATAATTCATTTATTTGATAACGTAATGATGTCCTAGGTTTTTGCTTTGTTTTCTTTTGGTCCTGGTAAGAAAGAGGCCTTCTGTCACATCTATGTTGTAATGTTTTTTTAATCTATATTTAGATATGGGACATGTTCTTAAGAAATAGTTATATGTATTATGGATGCCAAAATTATCTGATGTACTTAATTACAATTTACTTCTTTTTGTCCTCAATTCAAAGGATATTTAGACCAGTTAGTTCCTTTACTCCTATTTAAATAATGGTGATTTATATGCTAAGCATTTGATTAGTTTCTTCCATTTTTTCTTTTGTTTTTAAATATTTATTTTTTAGCCGTAGTTGGACACAATATCTTTATTTTATTTATTTATTTTTATGCAGTGCTGAGGATCGAACCCGGGGCCTTGCACATGCTAGGCGAGCACTCTACCTCTGAGCCACAATCCAAGCCCCCATTTTATCTTTTAGTTAAGGTTCACTGCACTTCTAAAATATTTGAGTTCAGAATTTTTCTCAACTTCGGAAAATACTCAGCCATTATTTCCTCAAATATAATTGTCTGTTCTTTCTCCCTCCTTCTGGGGCTCCAATTGCAAATATGAGAGCATTTAAGTTGACTCAAAGTACTGACCAATCTTTCTTCAGTTTCATTTTGGATGGTTTTATTGTTATGTCTTCAAGTTCACTAATCTTTTCTTCTGCCATGTCTAAGACGTTACCAATCCCATCCAGTGTATTTTCATCTTGAACACTGTAATATCATTTTTAGACAATCAGTTTAGGTTTTTCTATATCCTGCCTTATCATTCATATGATTTCCTTAATCTTCTTGAATATATGGAGTTTATAACATCCTTTTTGGTTTTAAATATGCTCTAATTTATTACTTATAATATAATGATTATCATTTCCATCAACAATGTCACTGGACATGAGTATCACCTACCAACTCCGAATACAGTGAGTCCTTTTCTAACGTGGCTTAGCTACTGTTGGTTCTTACACCCTATCCTAGCCTGACAGAAACTCTGTGCTGAGCCTGGATAGGGGAAATAAATTCCACACACTCCTACTATTCTTACATGTAAGAAGCATAAATGTTTCTTCAGATTATATGTGCCTTTAGTCAATTTCCAGATTGCTGAGATGGAAGTTTTTGTCAACTTTACCCAGCTTTATAGGTACTCTTTAGAGAACAGATTTGCCTATCTCCTCACTTGGGTCCAGCTAGAAGTGTCATATAATAGCTGCTTTTACTATTTTACCTGCTAATTTTATTATCTGTCATCATTTTGAAATCTGCTTGAAATAGCCTGAATTTTCTCTTCATCATTCATATTTTCTTGCTTCTTTACAAGCCTGATAATTATTGAATAGATGCTATGCATTGTGAATTTTCCATTGTCAGATGCTAGAATTTATGCATTTCTTTAAATATTTGTGGACTTTGTTCTGAGATTCAGAACAATTTGGTCCTTTCTGAGTATACTTTTCAGATTTATTAGGCAGGTTCAGAACAGCCATTAATCTAGAGAGAATTTGGCCTCCCTATGAGACAAATACCCTTCTGGGAACTGTACTTGATGACTTACATGTCAGGAGATGTTTGCACTCTGGGAATGCAAACTATGAGTGGACCTTTGTGAACCATGCAATTGCTTTGCCTGATACCTTCTGGTATTTTCCCTGGCCTCAAGTAGTTTCCTCACATGAGTGTACTTGCATATCAGTATTATATACAGAGGAATTTTCTGTAGAGCCTCAGCATTCTCTTTCTGTGTAGTTCTCTCCCCTTTGGCACCTACCTTACAAACTCTATCTATGTCAGCATACCTAAACTCTGACCTCTGTCTCTCTATTTGGGGATCCTGGCAAGTTCCCTCCACAGTTGCCTGGAAACTCCCACTAGACTGTAAGCTAGAACAAGTCTAGTGCTCCCTTCACTTGTTTCTCTTTTTGCAGGGACCACTGTCTTCCTATTTTAAATGCCTCCAAACCACTGTTTTATATAGTCTTGTCCTGAGTTTTACACGTTTAACCTGGGAAAGTGAAGCTTGATCCTGGATCTTCCATCAGGGTTGACAATAGAAATCCTCTAGGTATGTTCAATTAGGGTTTCCTCTCAGTACGGAAGTCCACAACTCAACATTTTAATTCCAACTGCTAAAACTACCACACCATTTCCTTTATTACTGTTATGAGCATCATCACTACCACCAACATTTATGGAATGCTCATTTTACAACAGAGGATATACTGTCTCATTTAAGACCCATAATACTAACTTCCATTATACAGAGAAGAAAACAGGATCCCTGAGAGTTCAGAGTTTGGCGATGCTGACATAGGTAGAATACGCAAGATAGGGTAACAAAGAGAAAGCTACACAGAGAAAGAATGCTGAGGATTTACCAGAGATCCCTCTCTGTATTTAACGGAGTGCTAATCAGTGCACGCATGTGAGGAAACTACCTGAGGCCAGGAGTAAATGCCAGAAGGTAAGCAATTGCATGGTTCGCAAAGGTTGAAAGAAATTAAGCAATTTACCCAAAGTAACACAGGTAGTAAAAGCGGTAGAGCAGGTATTTGAACATAAATATTCTGACTACTGATGTTGACTATTATATTAGATAAAAATTCTGGGAAAAAGAAGATACATAAGATTATTTTTAAAATATGTTACCTCTAGCAAATTTTGCCCTATGTCATGTCTGAATTCAAAATAAGCGGTCCCGGAACCGCCCTGGCTCAGGGCTGCGGAGTCTGCAGAGGCTGCTTCTTGGACCCTGCTACTATCAGAGCAAACACCAAGCACTAAGAAGCCGAATTCCAGCTCCCGGAACTGAGCCCGCGGGGACTGCTTCTTGGAGCTTACACTTATAGGAGCTTACACCAAGCACGGAGCGGCTGAGTTCCGGCTCCCGGAACCGTCCCGGAACCGCCCTGGCTCAGGGCTGCGGAGCCTGCGGAGGCTGCTTCTTGGACCCTGCTACTATCAGAGCAAACACCAAGCACTAAGAAGCCGAATTCCGGCTCCCAGAACTGAGCCCATGGGGACTGCTTCTTGGAGCTTACACTTATAGGAGCTTACACCGAGCACAGAGCGGCCGAGTTCCGGCTCCCGGAACCCTCCCGGAACCGCCCTGGCTCAGGGCTGCGGAGTCTGCAGAGGCTGCTTCTTGGACCCTGCTACTATCAGAGCAAACACCAAGCACTAAGAAGCCGAATTCCGGCTCCCGGAACTGAGCCCGCGGGGACTGCTTCTTGGAGCTTACACTTATAGGAGCTTACACCGAGCACGGAGCGGCCGAGTTCCGGCTCCCGGAACTTCCCTGGACCGGGGCTAGGAGCCCGCGGAACTGCGTCTCGGTCCGGGTCCTGCTGAGGGCCGGTCAGGACTCACCCGTTGCTTGGGTTGCCCGGAAAGGGGAACGAAATGCTGCCATTCGCATAGGATACCAACATGGCAGAGATCTGATGTCAGCAGAAAGCAGTGGAGGAGAGATCTTCATCAATACCAGCGGTGACATAAGCAGTTGGTCT